AAAAATTATTTAACTTGATTAATTAATTTATATAAAATATATTTTGTGATTCAGTTATAAATAAATAAATAAATAAATAAATATAAATAAATAAATAAATAAATAAATATATATATATATATATATATATATATATATATATATATATATATATATATATATATATATATATATATAGATTTAGATTCTGGTGCGGTTAGGGTGCCCAGGTGCGGTTGTGCGGTTTAATCTGGACCATTCATCTCGCTTAAATCAACGTCCAGAAAAGTCAAAATAAAAAAAATAAAAAAAATGCGGTGGCAATTTTGTAATTTTTGCATGTAGGTCAAAATTAAGGTGAGCGGATCTGTGATTAATGTGCGTGGGGTTTGTGCGTAATGTGCGTGAGGTTGTGCTTAATGTGTGTGGGGTTTGTACTTAATGTGCGTGAGGTTGTGCTTAATGTGAATAGTTGTTGAAACTTAAAATCTGTGAGTTAATATATTAAAGTGCGTGGGGTTTGTGCTTAATGTGCGCGAGGTTGTGCTTAATGTGTGTGGAGTTTGTACTTAATGTGCGTGAGGTTGTGCTTAATGTCAATAGTTGTTGAAACTTAAAATCTGTGAGTTAATATATTAAAGTGCGTGGGGTTTGTGCTTAATGTACGTGAGGTTGTGCTTAATGTGTGTGGGGTTTGTATTTAATGTGCGTGAGGTTGTACTTAATGTCAATAGATGTTGAAACTTAAAATCTGTGAGTTAATATTTAAAGTGCGTGGGGTTTGTGCTTAATGTGCGTGAAGGCTGTGCTTAATGTGTGTGGGGTTTTGTACTTAATGTGCGTGAGGTTGTGCAGACGCTATCATTTGTGTAGACGCTGTGTGTAGACGCTATCATTTGTGTAGACGCTGTGTGTAGACGCTATCGTTTGTGTAGACACTGTGAAGGAGCTATCTTCTTCCCGACACGCGTTTTTTTTTATATATAATTTTTATTAATTTGAGCCGTTGATCTAAATTTGATCAACAGCTCAGATCTAACCGCACAACCGCACGGGAAGCTATACCCGCACCTGAACCCTTCCCTATATATATATATATATATATGTAAATTTTTTTTATAAATTATCTAGTCAATGTAGTCTATAAGTTTCTATTATGTGTCATCATATTCTAATTATTCTAGAAAAAAAACTTAAAATTGATCTAGATAAAAGAAAAAAATATTTATAAATATCATAACAATATAAAAGATGTGTGATGTATAACATGTTGTCTATTCAAAATATTTTATGTTTCATATTTTTTATGAATATTTTTTATTTGTTATTATCATAACAATTTTATTGTTTGTAAGCTTATTTAATTTTAAATTGTTCATTCATTTTTAATAAACTATAATTATTTATTTAGGAAGGTATTGATGTGGTTATTGATTATTTTGTATTTAGTAAATAATCTAGAATATTATTGTGGGTATAAAATTGCTAAAAAATTTGTGAGTCTTATTTCAAGTTATTTAACATTAGTATTTTCTTCTTTATCTAATTTAAATTTTAGATATAAAAATATATATTAACGTAAGGTAGGACCTTTATTATTATTATTATTATTATTATTATTATTATTATATTATTATTATTATTATTATTATTATTAATTATTATTATTTTGCATGCCCCAGGCCTATAAAATGATATAATCATGTTTGTCTGCAAGAATAATTTTTTGGGTCTACATGATTTTTTTTGAATGCTACTGACTCTATTACATTGTAGTATCTATTCAAACATACTTTCTCAACCTAATGAAGCACATATAATCAACAACGCCTCCACTAAGGCTCGATCTCATGACCGCCCATGAATTAAAAAAAAGGAGAAAGCATATTTACTGATGCACGTTGCACGCACCCATTGCAATGCACACACCCTCTAGGTGCGTTAGTAGTCCTAGCTATTTTTTTTCTTTTTTCTTTTTTCTTTTTTCTTTCTTTTCCCCCTCCTTCTCATAAAACATCATTGTTGAAAGAAGGGTGGGCTTTTAGTGTTAATATTGAATTTTTCGATAAAAAAGAAAGTTAAGAAAAAAATGAGTCACACGTGAGTGCGATGGAGCGCACACAATGGGTGTGTCAAGGTGGGCGCCACCCTGAAATTCATATTTTCTGTTATGTTTTTTTTTTCTTTCTCAAAACCCTCCAACTCATGAGAGAGAGAGAGAGAGAGAGAGAGAGAGAGAGAGAGAGAGAGAGAGAGAGAGAGAGAGAGAGAGAGAGAGAGAGAGAGAGAGAGAGAGAGAGTCTATGTGTGTGAGAGAGTGAAGGTATACTATGCAAGAGAGTAATTTTGTAGGGGTCTACATGGATTTTTTTTTTTTAAAGCAGGTATGTTGAAAGAAAGAGAAAGTAGGTCTATTGATGCGATGTGCGTACACCCATCGCAGTGCATGCACCCGCTAGGTGCGTTAACAGTCCTAGGTGATTTTTTTCTTTTTCCTTTTTATTTTCTTTTCTCATCCCTCTCTCCCTTACTTAGCACCAAAAAAACATCAGACGTAAAACCTCATTGTTGAGAGAGGGGTGGGGTTTTAGTGTAAATATTGAGTTCTTTTCTAGCTTATAACTGAAAAAGATTTTTAAGAAAAACACTCGTGATGGAGCGCACCCAATGGGTGTGTCAGGGTGGGCACCATCCTAAAATTTATATTTTCTAGTACGTTTTTTTTTTCTCTCCACCCTCCAACTCATAAAAACCTGACAAAAATTCAAATATGGATTTTACTATTGTGGTTGCTCTTAAAACATCCTTAGAGCAACATTAACAACAAAGTTTTTGTGAGTCCAAACATCCACATCATTATCAAGTATCTCACTCAATCTCAAAAATCTTTCTTCTCAATAATTTTAAATTTTTAAATTTTTTTTTTATGGACCCCAACTTACCCAAATTATATTTTAATTATTTCTTTATTTATTATGATTCTATAAATTATAATTATTAGTATTTATATTAAATTAAACATGTCAAAATTTAATTAATTGATAATTATAAATTAATAGCAATATTAAATTTAAAAATTAAATTAAAAAAAAAAACTAGCAGCATAAATTTTTAAAAACTTATGTTATAAAAATTAAATTAAAAAAATTTTAAAAAAACAAGAAGTTGGCCATTGCATAGTCCAACTTCTCCTCTTCTTTTTTATTTTCAAAGATTAATTAATTCAGAGTGGTCGCTAGCTGGCGACCACTCTGAAGCGTCTCATGAGCGCGTTAATGAAATGCACCTGTTGAGCGCAGGCGTGAACTCCAACGTATTTTCCTTTTTTTTTTTTTCCCTTCAAAAATCATCTCTTAAAAATCAAGCAAAAATCTCACCCCAACCGTCTAATCCAATATTTACATATGAATCTCCGGCAAATTATGCTGTGGAAACGTGCCCACATTGCAAGGTGGGCATGATTCCAGATTCATAATTTCTATACTGTAGATTCATAATTTTTCTAATTTAAAAAAATTATTTTTCACTTGTCGTTAACGGCGTTTTTCTCTTCGCAATCGCATTGTTTCGTCTTCAATATGAATCTACAGTGTAGAAATTATGAATCTACAGTATTAGGTTTGTGAACATGTGATAAAGCTATATGTTCATAATTTTATAAATATATGTTCATATTTATAGAGGTATATGTTCATAATTTTCGATATAACCAACTGTTGAACTCTGTATTCACAAATCACAGAACTATATGTTCATAATTTGATAACTATACAGTTTAGAAATTATGAATCTACAATACAGACTATAGATATTATGAATCTGCAGTATAGAAATTATAAATCTACTATATTTAAATTATGAATTTACGGTATAGAAATTATGAATTTACAGTTAAAAAATTATGAATCTATAGTATAGAAATTATAAATTTGGAACCGCGGGCACGGTCCCATAGCATAACTTTCCATGAATCTCCCCCAACCCCCTCCAAAAAAAAAAAAAAAAAAAAAAAAAAAAAAAAAAAAAACCATTGATGTTGTTGCTACTTGCTCACTTGCTCATATTAAGGGATTTTTATTCATTTTTTGAGAGAAACAAATTTAAGGGAAGGAGAGAGAGGAGATAGAAAAACACAGTCCTTCCTGCAAAGTGTGATTTTTGCATATTTTTTATATTATGACGAAAAAAAATAATCTCTGTGGGGTATACTCACGCAGCCAGTGAGCATGAATTTTCCATTTTTGAAAAAAAAAATTAAAAAATTTCCCTTCCAACTAGATGAAATCTAACAAAAAAATCCAAATTGAGTACTGACCGGAAAATCCTAAGTCGTTACCTGAAGGTATGCATTAATTATATCTCAATTTCATTTATTAAATTGTCCATAACTTGTAACAATAAGGTGGAATCGTCCACCTCAGCCTAACAATTTATAAAAGGATAAATCATAGTATCTCAACTAATCAACAGATGTTACACATTTGCTCACTGCATACAACAAGCCCCTTCATTTTGAGAGATTGCTCACACATTGACGTTAGTAAAACCCGATCATTAGTCTCTTATGACAAATTTCATCTCTACAACCCATTAAGTTGCCCGTACGAGCTAAATTGTCTATAACTAATTGACTCAAACCAAGTTATCAATAGACCACTCTCACTGATACTCAAATTTAAAATTTTGTTATTGTCAAGTTAGCAGTCCGACTAATTTAGTTAGATTAACCGTGATTGTTTTTTTAATTTAATCCTATCAAAACCTAAGGACGGAATAAGTAATTTTCCAGAAAACTAAATTATTGAAGGAGGTTTCTTATAATTTATGGACAAAATTATACGGAGTAAATAAATTGGGAGTAAATTAAACCAAGGAAAAAAAAAAAAAAAAGATTGCAAAGAGAACCGATCAGATTCTGAACAAGGACAGATTAATCGTCAAAACTCAGTCATATGTTTCTACTGATAAAAACAGGACCGATAATTGTCGCCGTCGTCCACAAATCTGCGGTCGCAAAAAACTCAATGAGAGGCTGCACGGCAAGTCGGGCAAGAAGAATGGGCTTTGAGCCACCGCTGGATACAGCGGATATGGAAGCAATGTTTACAATTCTCCAACACCCTCACTCTCTCTCCCTCCACGAATTCTCCCAAGCAGATTATACACTCTTCTGACGCCACCCCCGCCGCCGCCGCCGAGAATATCACCGTGGGAATCGCAGCCCCAGCCTCCTCGTCCTCCGCCGTTTTGGACCCGCCAGCTGCCTTGTCATCATCGTCGTGGGTGGGGGGTGAAGAGCGGCGATGGCGGCGGCGGCGGCGGCGGAGCAGGTAACGGACGGCGGCGTTAAAAGCGAGGGCGCAGACAAAAGCGGAGAAGAGAACGAGGAGGACGAGGACGGTGTTGGTTTTGAAATCCCGGGCGCTGGAGTACGGCCACCAAGGGCAGCCGCTGTGCGGAAAGCAGTTTTGTGCCAGAGGTGGGTCCGCCGCCTCCGCCGCCGCGGTGGATGGTGACACCGGAGGAGAGTGTCGGAAATCCGCGTCGTATTCGGCCGCCTCTTCTTTCAAAAGCCGCATGTTTGATCGGACACCACAGAGAATATAGAGAGAAAAGAAACAAAAGTAGTAAAATGAGAAAGCTGCAGCTCTGCAACGGAAGGAGAGTGATGAAAATGGTGGATATTGATAATGGGACAGTGGCGCCGCGGTTTTATATAGAGACAGAGATAGATTACTTCCCCTGTTTTGTTCAAATATTTCTAAGAAAGAAAAAATTATAATTTATGCCGATCATGTCAATTATTAATGTCACTTTTACATTATTAGTTGTCTAAATGTTGTTTCTCAATTTTTAAAACTGTACATATATTGTCTCTTCCGTACTGTACGGGAGAAAAATTGAGAGACAACATTTACACTACGAGATAGGCAATAATTACACCATTAATAATTCAGAACTGACATTGATAATTGACATGTTATCGAGTGAGCATATACAATTTTCTCTTTCTAAAATTGTTATTTTGAAAAATTATTAGAATAAAACTCCCATCACATGTTGTGAATTACTTCTTTTTTTTTTCTTTTTTTTTTTGAATTACTCTTTTCTCAATCACGATTATTCGGTGATCTTTTAACTTTTAAGTGGCAGAATTTTGGTGCCTACAAAGAGCCCACCGTATTGAGTGTAAGTAATGTAACTCCCACATTATTACGGCGGTTAGATCACGATATTGTGTCTTTACTTAAAAAATTTATCACTTGATTACCAATTGAGTTGTCCGTGGGAGCATTTATCAATTGTTCTAAGTTGTTGGTTGGTGCTATAAGTATTTTTTTTTTAATACTACTAACTTTGTTATAGTGTAGTATTTGTTCATAACTACTTTCTCAACATATTGAAATACAAAGAGTCAATACCGCCTCACTAGAGATATAACATATGACCTTCCCTACGTGGTATAAGTATTTAATTATTCAGGGTAATTTTTAACTAATTTAAATTACGTTATTAAATTTTACAGTAATTTTGTTTTTTTAAAGGGACACTTTCTTTAACATATATTTTATTTTAGAACTTTTGAAGAGATTATATTCAACAGACTAAATATCCAAAATGGTCCCTCGATTATAGTTAAATTCACAAATTGATCCTCAACTTTCAATTTTAACCAATTATGTCCTTAACTTTGTAATTTTAACACAATTTGGTCCTCTATCTATTTGGCCGTTTGTTGACTGTGATTTTTGATGATATATATGTAATTTCATGGTCCATTGTCGATTTTTTAAAGTTCTGGTTGCATTTCCAGACCGCATTGTTGCATTTGAATCCACTGCTTAAAGCAATCTACCAAATCCGGTGGCCTTTCTTCATCCTCCCTTTGAATTCAATGTAGTGGAGTTTGTACCAGAGCGAAGAAGACGACGTGTTTCCGAACCAGTGCAATGTCATCCTGGAGGCTTCCATGTGCTCCGACGAGAGCTGAAGGTTCTTCTGGAGATCGTCGATCACGGCCAACAAACGATTAAATAGATGGAGGACCAAAAAAGTTAAGGACTTAATTGGTTGAAATTGAAAGTCGATGACCAATTTGTAAATTTAGCTATAGTCGAGGGACCATTTTGAGTATTTACTCTATTCAACAAGAAGGTTAAAATGTTAATTGTACTCATAGTTCTTAAATAAATAAAGATGATTAAATTAGTGTTTCAAATTATACAAAGAAGTTGATGTCACTCATAAATATGCGTTAAGATTGAGTAACCTAAATTGATTTACTTTCTGATCCTTTGCCTGACAAACTTCATTCAAAGTGCATCATTTGAATATCAATTTTTGACGCAAATCACGTATATAGGAATGTAACTATTTAACAAGTGTTTTACTTGAGATCATGGTTGCAGTAGGCGCTGGGCGCTAGTCGGGCGCCCGGGCAGCGCCTAGTGCCTAAGCGGCCTAGTCGGCGCCTAGGCGGAATCTAGGCAGCGCTAGGCGGTCGCCAAAAAAACAGTAGCAGACTTGCAATTTGACAATTTTAATGAGGTTGTTTTAACATTCAATCAAATAACACATCCAAATAAATGACATAATGACAATTCATAAGTCATAACATCAAAAGAATATTAAAAAAAAAAAGAACTCAAATAAAATACCCAAATACATCAATCATCCAAAGATTGAAAGTATCAAACTAGTCTACGAGTGTATATATGTCATATTATATATATATGTCATATAAATGAAAAAATTAGCAAGGTTGAGTCAATCGGGTTAACTCGACTAACTCAACAGAAATTGACGAGTTAACTCGGCGTAATCGGACGAGTTAGGCGCTAGGCGGGCGCCTAGGCGGCCGGTCTCCTAGGCGGGAGCCTAGGGGGGAAATCGCCACGGCCTATGGGCGCCTAGCGCCTAGGCGCCGATTACTCGGTGCCTAGGCGGGATTTTTACAACCCTGCTTGAGATTATGATATTACTGTCTTAGTGTATATATACTTAGATATGAATATATGATATCGATCCGATTTACTGAAATTAATTTTAGTTTTTACATATTTTAAAAATTAAAAATGCAATAATTAAACCCATAATAAATGATTAGGGAATAGTAAATATTATTATTGTTGAGTATAAAATATATATAAATATAAATGTACAATCCAACTATCAGCTTATGCTTTTAGTTGAGATTGAGCACATGCTTTAATTTGATATCGGGTTTAAATCTAGCGCCGCACTTAAAATATATAGATTTTTAGTTGAAATAAAGCACATGCTTCAATTATTATTACTGCTGAAAGAAGAAAGAGATACAAATCTAATATATACTAGCTATTCTCTAGAATGATCTCCAAACAAGCAATCAGCTGTGTTGCCTTCAAGAATAGGTAAGAATTGAACAAGGAGTGGCCCGCCATGGATGGCACGTCCACAAGCTTCAATGATTCGAAAATTCTACGTATTTATTTTAAGAGTAACACTATATTTTTATCTTAATTTTTTAAATCTATATTTTTATCTTAATTTTTTAAATCTGTGACAATATTTGATTAATCGGTTGTTATACAGTGGACCATGGTTCATAAAGTGCTATTTGAATTATGATTATCAAATTAAAATGTAATAGAATTAAAATGATATTTTAGTGTTGTTAAAATGAAACTAGTGTGTGAAAAATGAAACTAAAAAATAAAGCACATTCAACAACGTATATTGTCAAATGAAACTGTAGTATAACTAAAATGATACTCTAATGTTGTTAAAATGAAACTAGTGTGTATAGAAAATGAAACTAAAATCCAGAACCATACAATAACATATATTGTCAAATGAACTTGGGGTGTAACTAAAATAATACTTTAGGGTCTGTTTGAAAATCCGAAAAATGACTTCTGTAAAATCTTTTCTGAGTTTTAGTGTTTAGATGCAATAGGAAAATCCAGTCAATGGAAAATATTTTCTGTTGACTGGTGAAAATGTAGGCATTTGACAAAAAATGACTTCTGCCAAAATTTGGCAAGAGTAATTTTTTACCAACACTCAAAACATGATTTCCGCTGATTTTTGGTGGACCGGAAACCATAACAGTCGGAAACCACGGTTGTTCTGGTTTCTGGCGAAAACCATAAGTCTAGTTTCGGCCTGCGTATGGTTTTCGCTGGAAACCATTTTTTTAAAAAAAAAATTAATAAATAATAATAGTTTTTAATATTATTACAAATATTTTTATATTCTAAATAAAATATTTCAAAAGTTTAATTATACAATTCTACTCATTTTCCAGAAAATAAATCAATCACACCAAGACAGTTGTCCAGAAGTCATTTTCCTGCTTTTCAAACGGACCCTTAGCATTATTATAATTAAACTAGTGTGTGTGGAAAATGAAACTACAAAATAGAGCTCATACAATAATGTATATTTTCAAATGAAACTGTAGTAGAATTAAAATGATACTTTGGTATTGCTATAATGAAATCAGTGAGTGAAAAATGAAACTGAAAAACAAAGTAATATTGTCAAATGAAACTAAAGTGTAATTAAAATGATACTTACTTTATAGACCACATTACTACATGGCAGTAAAATTTGTCTTGATTAATAGATAAGGTTTTTTTTTTTTTTTTTTTTTTTTAATATTAGCTCGACTATTTGGAGAGCAAATTATTCCGTGAATCCGGGTCCACCTCAAAAAATACACAATTTATATATTGAATGTTCATAATTTACATATACTAAATGTTCACAATTTACATACCGAATGTTTATAATTTACATACTGAATGTTCGCAATTTACATACTGAATGTACACAATTTTACTCCGTATATACTAAATGTTCACAATTTAGATACTGAATGTTCACAACATTACATATATCATGTACTCTTTTCCTCAACTAGATTTTTTCCACTAGGTTTTTCTAGTGAGGTTTCTAATGAAACATGAGTATGACATAGTAATGTCCAAGGGGGTGTGTTGTGAATAAATATATATGGACATTACTAAATGGATTATACTGTGATAATACCTCTTCATCATTTGTAGTTATATTAGAACTCGGTATATCTTGTATATATTATACTAAACGATGATTAATAAAAGATGGATGATTCTCTCAGTATTCTGTCTAGAGCCGTCAAAACGGTCTCGCGGGGCGGGACTAGCCAAAACACACCCAAGCCCGTCCTCGTAGCGGGACGGGCTAAAAAGCCCGCCTCCTAGCGGGCTTGGAATGTGGTCAGCCCGCCCCGCCATGCCAAAGCCCGCTGGCGGGGCGGGCTAGCCCGCCAATCAATTTTTTCACTGTGTTAATTTTTATTTTTTAAAAAAAAGATCACTATACAATATCCTTCAAAAAAAAAAAAAAAGAAGAAAAAGAATCATTGTACAGACGTACAGTACACTAACACAGTAACACTACCTAGTATTGTATTCCTATAAATCTATAATCCTATACAGGGCCGTTCCAATAAAAATTGGGGTCCTGTGCAATATCATAATTTGGGTCCCTTTTTTTCAAGTAATTTCTATATATAATAATAGTTGTTCAAAAAATTGTGTCAAAAGTTTAA